CCAGACTGGAGTGCAGTGGCACGATATTGACTCACTGCAACCTCTGCCTCCTGGGTTTGCGCAATTCTCCTACCTCAGCCTCCCAAGTAGCTGGGATTACAGGCGCCTGCCACCGTGTCGGGCTAATTTTTGTATATTTAGTAGAGACGGTGTTTCACCATTTTGGCCAGGCTGGTCTTGAACTCCTGACTTTGTGATCCACCCGCCTCAGCCTCCCAAAGTGCTGGGATTACAGGTGTGAGCCACCGCCCCCGGGGAAGAGGGTCATAGCTTTCATAAGGGTCATAAAGGATTTAGGCCTCCCCTTCTGCAGAGATTAAGTTCTTCAGACCAGGGAAGAAAGAGGTGACTGGATTATTTTGCAGAGAAAGCTGGAGCCCAAGGGGAGGGAGACAGGAATTGGAAAAGGGTAGGGATGGGGGAGGAGATGCCAGATCAGCCCTGAGAACCTCTTTACCCGTCTCAAAGACTTAGGACACTAATGGGAAAGACTGGGCTAACTTCTGCCCTTCCCCACTGTCTGCCCAGGGACACCTGGGAAAGGACAAATAGGAGCTGAATCCTTCACTGAAGGCCCCGTCAAGGTATCTATGGGTTGGGCGTTAGGAACGGCCTGGCCCCACAAATCACATAACTGGGGTGTAGAACAAAATGGTTCCAGAGATGCTACCAGGCTGGTCCAGGACCGATGCAGGCCAGAACCCCGCTGGGAGGACTCCCCAGAACAGGCACTGAGCTGAGGAAAGGCAGAACACGTGGTCTGCTACTGACCCCACCAGATCTTCTGGGACTCTGGGCAGCTCCGGAGTACTGCTAAGTCCCCAAACCGGGTCTACAGGTCTTAGACCACACTCATGAGGCCACTTGCCTCAGAGCCTTCGGGGGGGTCTTAGGAGGCAGGCAGGAAGGTCTCCTTCTAGGCCATTCTAGGAGGGGACTGGAGAGCAGAGGTTAGACTGGAGGGTAGGGGTAACCTGATCTTACAGTCCAGAAGCCACGAGACTAGTCGCCTGGCCTTGCGCCCCGCCCCACTGCAGGGTGGAAAGCCTGTCCCACTCCAGTCACCCAGATCAATAACGCCCTCCACCGTGGGTCTCCTGGGCCCCAGAAATCGTTCCCTCTTTCCCTCGCCTGGGCACTGCCACGCGGTCTGGGGAACCCGTAGTCTATCGACGGGTCTGGCCCGGGGTTTGCCCTGCCCGTTAGCCCAGGAGGATAGGCAGACACGGGGAACTGGTGTTCCCCTAGTGATTTCAAGGCTCATTAACTGTCTCCGACCCGTCCCGAAAGCAAGCAACTCCACCGCTTCTCTTCAAAGCTCTGCAACGAAGGACTAGGTCCAAGGACCGCAGCCGGAGGCGGGAATTGTCAAGATCCCAGGTTACGGAATGGCACCGAGTCGGTGACCAAAGGAAGCAGGAACCCGGGTGTTCAAGGCAGTCCTCCAGGGCGGCGCGGGGGCTAGGCTGAGGCCACTCCCTTCCACTTCCTCGACGCTATTTCCTGGGAGGAGTTGGAGCTGGCGGCCCGGAGCCAAGGGACTCCCAGACCCGTGCTCCAAAATACTAGGCTTGGGGGAGGCTGGTTCCTGAGCGGCGCCAGGACCGTTCTGCCATGCATAGTGGACCCGGCACTACAGCTAGCCTGGCACGACCTCTAGGGCGGTTCGCAACGGCATTCGTACGTCGGCTCGTTGGTCTAGGGGTATGATTCTCGCTTCGGGTGCGAGAGGTCCCGGGTTCAAATCCCGGACGAGCCCTCCTTTACGTTTTGCTGAAACAAGAGTGTCTTCAAGGAATGTGTTACCTGACCAGCGCTGCAGGAGGCTTCACTGGAAATCATCAATGTACAGTAAGCTCTTTTGTGGCACCGGGGTAACAGAAAGAATCTCAGTCCCCAGACCCGCCTGGCATGTCAGGAAGAGACGAGGCACGCCCAGACTTGGGCAGGACGCTCCCTTTCTGCTTCTTGACTTCCTGCGTGGTGTCTCAACTCCGCCACTACAGCCTGGTTTCGGTTTGATTGACACCCATCAATCTATAGTTGTGGATGACAGTGTTCGGGAGAGCCCAGGAACTGTCAGAACTTGGTTCTCTGCAGCCCTGGAGGTACTCTGTCTCTTTCGGTCACTCCATCTGACGATGGGTGCCTGAAATACACCTACAGTTTTTGGTCGGCTTTTCTCGGTGGTCGGAAGAACAGAACCCTTAGGAACTCTGCTGTCAGCAAGCCGAGTGTAAAGTCCCAGATCAAGGATTCGGAGACGACCGTTGACGGGTCACTCCTCGTTAGTATAGTGGTGAGTATCCCCGCCTGTCACGCGGGAGACCGGGGTTCCATTCCCCGAGGGGAGAATCCGAATGATTTTGCTTTCATTAAATCCGTCCTGGCCCCTGGGATGGACCTAGAAAAAAGAGGGAAAGGAGGAGGGGAGGAAAGTTTGGCCTACCTCTCCAGCTCGCATTCTAAGTTTCCATTTTAGTTCAAGCAACTTGGAGTTCAAACGTGTACCTAAAGTGGCCACTATCTCCTCCGCTCAATATGTTCATTAGTGCTCAAACTTGATCTAGCTTGCTCCCTCCTTGACGGCAGTGCGCATTTCCAGTCTCTGCTTGAACCTGGGCAAGCAGCTTTGGCCCCCGGCTGTCCAGGGTGCAGAGCCCGGGCTTTTGTTTCCTTTCGCCTCCCTGCGTTTTGTGGATTCGCACTGCGATCCGGGAACAGTAGGCAACCCCGGGCCGAAATTCCGACAGGCTGCTCTCACCTGGAGGGGCTTGCAGGGCGCATCCGCCAGGAGCGCGGTGGTCCGGCAGTGGTCGCAGGTGTAGCGGAAAGCGGGTTCTTTCGGAGAGGACGGTTCCGCAGGAAAACCTCACGAAAATCCTCAACGATGGTGGGGCCCAGAAAACACGAGAAGGAAAAGAGGGAAAAAAAAAAAATTCAAAATGCACTTGCGTTGGCCGGGAATCGAACCCGGGTCAACTGCTTGGAAGGCAGCTATGCTCACCACTATACCACCAACGCTTAGGTACTACTGGTTCCTTTCATACCTCATGTTGATTGCGGTGAGTCGGGTTGGACCCGTGCGGAGCCAGGGAAACAGCATCAGCGAGATCCAGGTAAAAGTAATGGCTGCTGTCGTCTGCCCGGCGCAATTGTGAGTGACCTTCACCGCTAGTGCGCGCCACCCCACATGAACCTGTAGGGTTATGCCCAGTCTACAGACGAGGAAACCAAGGTCCAAAGAAGTTGAGTCACCGGCAGAGCTGGGATTACATCTAAGATCTCTCCAGGGGGCGAGAACTGCAGCGGCATCATGATGATTTATCATCTCCAGAAAAAAAAAAAAGAGTCCTAGACGCATAAAAATCGCTTCTCTGTAGAGTGGGCTCAATGAGCTCAATGTGATTCAAGTTAAGGAACTGGGCCCTAAGTCAAATGCGCCTAAACACAATTTGCCTCTTTATTATTTATTCAGATTCCCACGTACGTGCGCCCACATCTCGTCAGCTGGTGCCTCGCAGAAATGCGCTGACAAATCTTAAAGATGCGGCTTCATGACAAAAGTCCTCCCCTTATTGCTGTTCAAGAGACCCCTCAAGTCACGCTGTTGGGCAGGCCTCGTGGCGCAACGGTAGCGCGTCTGACTCCAGATCAGAAGGTTGCGTGTTCAAATCACGTCGGGGTCAAACCAAACATTGTTTTCCCTAATCAAATAGATTTACGGTGACATTTTTAGGGACAGGACAAAAAAAACCTCCTCAGTAGAAGGATAGGAGGGGAATGAGACAAATGTGAACGTTATTCAGAAGTTGGGTACAATTTCAGTTGGGTACAGACTTTCAGCACTATGTGATATATCCCTGAGGCAAAACTGCACATGTACCCCTAAAGTCTATAAAAGTAAAAATAAATTTAAAAATTAAAAAAATTACTGTTGTATGGAAATTTTTTAAGAATTTTTTTCAATTATTATTGTTTGTTTGTATCTTTTTTCCCTTGAGATGGAGTTTCTCTTTTGTTGCCTAGGCTGGAATGCAATGGCACTATTTCAGCTCACCGCAACCTCCGGCCATGGGTTCAAAAGGATTCTCCTGCCTCAGCGTCCCGAGTAGCTGGGATTACAGGCATGCACCACCACGCCCGGCTAATTTTGTATTTTTAGTAGAGAGGGGGTGTCTCCATATTGGTCAGGCTGGTCTCGAACTCCCAACCTCTGGTGATTCACCCGCCTGGGCCTCCCAAAGTGCTGGGATTACAGGTGTGAGCCACCGTGCCCAGCCTTTTTAAATGTTTTTAATAATCTCTGCTGTTCTATGTATGTTTACTTAACACTGAACACAAGGATATTAAATACAAATACTACCTTTCTCCAGACTTCCCAGCAGTCACTAGAAGCCCAGGACCACGTGCCTTTTGGCTGCTTCCAGTAAATCGAAAAACAAAACCGGTGGGGCGGGGTGGTTCATGCCTATAATCCCAGCACTTTGGGATGCCAAGGAGGGCAGATCACCTGAGGTCGGGAGTTTGAGACCAGCCTGGCCAACATGGTGAAACCCATCTCTACCAAAAATACAAAAAAATTAGCCAGGCATGGTGGCACATGCCTGTAATCCCAGCTACTCGGGAGGCTGAGGCAGGAGAATCACTTGAGCTTGGGAGGCGGAGGTTGCAGTGAGCTGAGATCATGCCATTACTCTCCAACCTGGGGGACAGAGTGAGGCTTCGTCTCAAAAAAAAAAAAAAAAAAAAAAAAGGGAAATACACTTACAGTCCTTGTTTCTCTAACTGGTCATGTAGTGGTAGTTGATAACTAGCTTCTTTTTTTTTTTTTTTTTTTTTTTGAGATGGAGTCTCACTCTGTCACTTAGGTTGGAGTGCAGTAGAGTGCAGGTGATTCACCTATCTCGGCCTCCCAAAGTGCTGGGATTACAGGCGTGAGCCACCATGCACAGCCATTTAAAAAATATTTTTAGTAGAGACGGGGTTTCATCATGTTGGCCAGGCTGGTCTCAAACTCCTGACATCAGGTGATCCTCCCGCCTCAGCTTCCTAAAGTGTTGGGAATATAGGCTTGTAATCCCAGCACTTTGGGAGACCGAAGTGGATGGATCACAAGGATGGGAGTTCAAGACAAGCCTGGCCAACGTGGTGAAACTCCATGTCTACTAAAAATACAAAAATTAGCCAGGCGTGGTGGCGGGCTCCTGTAGTCACAGCTACTGGGGAGGCTGAGGCAGGAAAATCACTTGAATCCGGGAGGCGGAGCTTGCAGTGAGTCGAGATTGCGCCATTGCACTCCAGCCTGGGCGGCAGAGAGACTCCATCTCAAAAAAAAAAAAAAATCCTTTATAATAAACTAGTGAACATTTTTCCCTGAGTTCTGTGAGCCACTCTAGCAAATTCATTGAACATAAAGAGAGAATTGTAGAAACCCCAACTTATACCTAGTTAGTCATAAGTACAGGTAAAACAACCTGAGGCTTGTGGTTGGCATCCAAAGTGAGGGGCAGTCTTGTGGGACTAAGCCGTCAACCTGTGGGATCTGATGCTCTCTCCAGGTAGATAGTGTCAGAATCGAATTGGAAGACTCCCGGCTGATGGCTGCTGCAGAACTATTGCTTGCTTGGTAGTGGAGTAAAATCCCCACACATGTGGTCGCAGAAGTCTCCTGTGTTGATTGCTGTGGTGTGAGGGCAGAGGAAAAATTGGGTCTTTTTTTTTTTTTTTTTTTAAGACAGATTCTTGCTGTGTTGCCCAGGCTGGAGTGCAGTGGCGTGATCTCAGCTCACTGCAACACTCCCAGGTTTAAGCAATTATTGTGCCTCACTCAGCCTCCTGAGTAGCTGGGACTACAGGTACCTGCCACCACAACTGGCCTTTTTTTTTTTTTTTTTCCGAGATGGAGTCTAGCTCTGTCACCCAGGCTGGAGTGCAGTAGTGCGATCTCGATTCCCTGCAATCTCCACCTCCCGGGTTCAAGCGATTCTCCTGCCTCAGCCTCCCAAGTAGCTGGGATTACAGGCTCCTGCCACCACACCCAGCTAATTTTTGTATTTTTAGTAGAGTGGGGTTTCACTGTGTTGGCCATGCTGGTCTCGAACTCCTGACCTCGTGATCCGCCTGCCTCAGCCTTCCAAAGTGCTGGGATTACAAGCATGAGCCACCACGCCTGGCCAGAACTGGCTAATTTTTTGTATTTTAGTAGTGATGGGTTTCACCATGTTGCCCAGGGTGGTCTTGAACTCCTGAGCTCAGGCAATCCACTCTCCTGGGGCTCCTGAAGTGCTAGGATTACAGGTGTGAGCCACTGTACCCAGCCCGTTTTTTGTTTTTATTGAGACAGGGTGTCACTCTCATGTCGGAGCTGGAGTGCAGTGGCACAATCATGGCTCACCACAGCCTTGACCTCTGGGCTCTGCTGATTCTCCTGCCTCAGCCTACCAAGTAGCTTGGACTAGAGGCCAAGTGTATGCTTGGACTAGAGGCATACACTACCATACCCGGCTAATTTTTTGTGTGTTTTTTGTAGAGACGGGGTTTCACCATGTTGCCCAGGCTGATCTTAAACTCCTGGGATCAAGTGATACAGCTGCCTTGGCCTCCCAAAGTGCTGGGGTTACAGGCATGAGCCGCCAAGCCCAGCCATGGTTTGTTTTTTCTACACGGTATGCTTTAAACGGAAAATAGCATTTAGAATGCATTCAGGAAGAATATCTATTGTTCGTGTAGGAAAAGTGCTAATGGAGGCATGCAGAGGCATGCAGACAATGTCATCAAGTCCTGGAGTGCTTTCCAGGCCTCTCTTCTGCCTTCTGCAATGTTAGGCTTCAATGTCAAGCTGCTTCCTTCAGTAGCACTAGAAGCAGCAACGAGGGCTGCATGCTTCCCTGCTCACTTCCAGAAATCCCTTCCTCCATACCATGCCCTATACCTCTTTTCATCTATATCCTTTGAAATACACTTTATGATAAACCAGTAAACGTTAAGTGCTTCCTTGAGCTGCCCAGCATTCTGAGCAAGAAAAGTGATTCCCACTAGCTGGTCCACTGAAGTCACATGCTTATATCCCTGATCCAATAACCAGAATCTGGAATAAAACCTGTTGATTAGTGTAAGTCAATTGGGACTCATTTCTGGACCTGGAATGGAATCAGTTTCCTTCTCAAACCCTCAAAACTCTAAGTGCTTTCAGAACTGGGAATAGGCCGGGCGCGGTGGCTCAAGCCTGTAATCCCAGCACTCTGGGAGGCCGAGGCGGGCGGATCACGAGGTCAGGAGATCGAGACCATCCTGGCTAACACGGTGAAACCCCGTCTCTACTAAAAAAATACAAAAAACTAGCCAGGCGAGGTGGCGGGCGCCTGTAGTCCCAGCTATTCGGGAGGCTGAGGCAGGAGAATGGCGTAAACCCGGGAGGTGGAGCTTGCAGTGAGCTGAGATCCGGCCACTGCACTCCAGCCCAGGCTACAGAGCGAGAGAGACTCCGTCTCACAAAAAAAAAAAAAAAGAAGAAGAACTGGGAATAAGGCTGGGCGCAGTGGCTCATGCCTGTAATCCAAGCACTTTGGGAGGCCAAGGTGGGCGGATCACCTGAGGTCAAGAGTTTGAGACCAGCCTGACCAATGGGATGAAATCCCGTCTCTACTAAAAATACAAAAATCAGCTGGCGTGGTCACATGCGCCTGTAATCCCAGCTACTCGGGAGGCTGAGACAGGAGAATCGCTTGAACCCAGGAGGAGGAGGTTGCGGTGAGCCGAGATGGTGCCATTGCACTCCAGCCTGGGCAACACAGCAAAACTTCGTCTCAAAAAACAAAAACAAACAAACAAACAAAAAAAGAAGTGGTATTTAATTAGGTCTTCATCAACCTAGGGATTTGGGGTTGTCAGCAACAGAAACTACTACAGAAACCGACTACTTAGACTGGAGAGACAGGTGGTCCCCTAAGGGAAAATAAGAGTGTTAGGAGAAAGGAGAAGAGTGCTGGACAGTACATACTTAACAAGTATCCACTGGTTATTTCATAGAAGACCCAGAAATGTATTTATTTACAGTAATGTATTCATTACCCAGTAATGAAATCTGAGGGTTAGGAAGAGCAGAAAAGAAGGGAGTGTGGCAGGAAGGAGGAAAAATCAAAGTGGGCCCAAACAACATGGCAGCTAACAGAGATCTTGCAAGGAAAGGTCTACTCGTGGAAAACTCCTCCCAGGAATGTCAGAACTTTTAATAACGACATAGTAATGACACAAGAATAAACACACAGCCAAATGAGCAAACAACAGAATACAAAGTCTAGACATAGACACAAGTAAATATGCTAACATTATATATCAAGGGCAGCATTTAAATTCTATTGGGGCAGTTTGTTTAACAAATGGTGTTGACATAACTGGCTCTCCATCGCGCAGAAGTTAGACCCCAGCTCATACATGTATAAGGATAAACTCCAGTTATATTAAATATTTAATTTTTTTTTATAAAAAGAAGAAGGCCGGGCGCGGTGGCTCACGCCTGTAATACCAGCATTTGGGGAAGCCCAGGCGGGTGGATCACCTGAGGACAGGAGTTCGAGACCAGATTGGCCAACATAGCGAAAACCCGTCTCTACCAAAAATACAAAAATTCCGGGCGCCTGTAATCCCAGCCACTCGGGTGGCTGAGGCACGAGAATCGCTTGAAACCGGGAGGCAGAGGTTGCAGCAAGCCGAGATAGCACCACTATACTCCAGCCTGGGCGACAGAGAGAGACTCTGTCTCAAAAACGGAAAGGGGAGGGGAGGGGAGAAGAGGAGGGGAGGGGAGGAGAGGGGAGGAGGGGAGGGGAGGAGGGGAGGGGAGAAGAGGAGGGGAGGGGAGGGGAGGGGAGGGGAGGGGAGGGAGGGAGGGAAGGGGAGGGAAGGGAGGGGAGGGAAGGGAAGGGAAGGGAAGGGAAGGGAAGAAAAGAAAAGAAAAAGGAAGATAATTCACTGGGGGAATGTGGGGAAACCTTCCTAAGCTGGAAGCCAAGCGTGCCTCTTCCGTTGGGTTCCCATTACTTACGTCACAGGACATCGAGCCAATGGGAACTAGGCATGGGCGACGAGCTCACCCAATGGGGCCGGGGCGGGAGATTTGAAAGGTCCTCGGCCAGGGCGTGGCGTGGCAGATTCAGTTGTTTGCGGGCGGCCGGGAGAGTAGCAGTACCTTGGACCTCAGGTGAGCTGGCCTCCTGTCGCAGGCCTTGCGCCAGGAGTGGGCAGATGATCAGGCAGATCAGAGGGTCCGTTGGGCTGGCCTGCGCGCACACTGCAGGGCTGGAAGGAGGTAGGGATGATAGCAGGGTGGGGGCGGTGAGACAAGCGCCCGGATTGGAGCTAGTGTGCTGACCTGCTCCCTTTTACCAGCTCGGGCTAGCACTTCCGGCTTGATCGGTCCAACCCCTCCCTCTCTCTCTCTCTTTTTCTCTGCTTCTCACGGCTGTTTCCCTTCTCCGCCCAGCTCTCCTCCCCCTTTCCCTCTAAGGATGGCCCAGAAGGAGAACGCCTACCCCTGGCCCTACGGCCGGCAGACGGTAAGGCCCTTCCCTCCTTCCCCGCGCCCACATGACCCCGCATGGCGAGTTCCTGCCGGGAAACTTGAGATCGTGCAAAGAGCAATCCCTTATGCACTTTCTTTCCCGTTATGCTCCAAAGTACGCGCCCCAAGTTTGATGACAGAACCTGGTCTGGGCATTTGTAGCCAGCCACATCCTGTTAGGTGCTGCCAACTTGTATCTGACCAGCCAGTGACTACCAGCCGGTGAGGGCCTCTGCAGGGTTCATCACACACAAGTGATATCTGGGACTGAGCAGGCAGGGCCTGGCCTTCAGGCCATGATTCCCAACCCATGTCCTGAAAAAAATAAACTAGACAGCAAATATAAATAGACTCTAAAAGGATATAAAGTTACTGTTTAAAAGGTCCAGGGCAAGTCTAAATTATAATTTGGAATTAATGAGTAAGTTGAGGTAAGGATCTCAATGAATCTAAATGGATTTATTTCCCAGTTGTCCAGACAGATTTCATTGAGGGGCCTCCTCTCTGATTTGAAATGCCACCTTTATTATATATATAAATTCCCACATATATGTGGGTCTATTTCTGGACTGTATTTTATTCAACTTGCTTATTTGTAGATCTGTACCAATATCACTATTTGGGAAGAGGTTTTTAGGGGCATAGGGGCTCTCTTCTCTTGGCTGAAGAAGAAGGAAGGGGCCCTGCATAGGCTTTGCTCCCTGTTTGTGGAGCTCGGGCTTCCTGGAGAATCTGCCTGTCCCCTTGTTCATCAGCTCCCTCCCTCACGGAGCAATGAGTGAGGCTGTCAGGAATGGAGTCTGAATGAGAAACCATTGTCACTTTTACCTTGGTCACTCCTAAAAGAAAGTGTATCTATTATTTTGAGAAGCTGAAAGTGAGGCCAGGTGCAGTGGCTCATACCTGTAATCGTGGGAGGCTGAGGCAGGTGGATCACCTGAGGTCAGGAGTTCGAGACCAGCCTGGCCAACATGGTGAAACCCTGTCTCTACTAAAAATACAAAAATTAGCCAGGCATGGTGGCGGACGCCTGTAATCCCAGCTACTCAGGAGGCTGAGGCAGAAGAATTGCCTGAACCTGGGAGGTGGAGGTTGCAGTGAGCCGAGATGGCGCCATTGCACTCCAGCCTGGGTAATAGAGCAAGACTCCATCTCAGAAGAAAAAAAAGAAGGTGAAAGTGAGAAGTGGTCCAGGGCCATCAGAGTAGCTCTTAGTGTCCTTAAAGGCTGTTCTTGCAAAGGTGTAACCCCTGGTTATTGCTATAACATTCAAGGCCTCAAGCTTCTTATCTAAGCCTTAATAAACTAAGCTTTTTGGGAGACTTTGAGAATACCTCTGTCTAAACCCCTTGAATTGTGGGTGTTCACAGTAGACACCCAGCTCTCTACTGTGGTGTAGGTGAGAGGCTAGATGAATGGCTGTGGTGTTATGGACAGGACTTATACAAGTTGAACAGCTTCATGCCTGAAAAGTGTGGGCCAGGGCCAAAGAGGTGAAATGTTAGGTGTTGGTGTGAGTCTTTTGCCCCTTATCTTAGGCCTACTTAGGTTATTTTTTAATTTTTTAATTTTTATTTTTTAGAGACAGAGTCTCACTCTGTCGCCCAGGCTGGAGTGCAGTGGCGCAATCTCAACTCACTGCAACCTCTGCCGCCCGGGCTCAAGCAATTCTCCTGCCTCAGCCTCTCAAGTAGCTGGGATTACAGGACCCGCACCCAGCTAATTTTTTTTTTTTTTTTTTTGAGACGAAGTCTAGCTCTGTCGCCCAGGCTAGAGTGCAATGGCACAATCTCGGCCCACTGCAACCTCTGCCTCCTAGGTTCAAGCGATTCTCCTGCCTCAGCCTCCTGAGTAGGTGGGATTACAGGCACTCGCCACCACGCCCAGCTAATTTTTGTATTTTTAGTAGAGTGGGGTTTCACTGTGTTGGCCATGCTGGTCTCGAACTCCTGACCTCGTGATCCGCCTGCCTCAGCCTTCCAAAGTGCTGGGATTACAAGCGTGACCCACCACACCCAGCCGCACTGGGCTAATTTTTTGTATTTTTAGTAGAGACGGGGTTTCACCATGTTGGCCAGGCTGGTCTTGAACTCCTGACTGCGTGAGCCACTGCGCCCGGCCCTAGGTTGTTTATTAATAACCCATTTTAACATGGGACTGTGAGCAGAGGCTGGGAGGCAAAACTGTCACATCAGTGTTTCTCTTTGAATTGGGGGTGGGCGGGTGGGTGGCTCTTTAGCAAGGGGCTGAAATACTGCTTGCAGCACATTCCACCCGGGTCATCAGACAAAGGCACCCTCAGAGCTACCCCCTGCTCCTTCTCAGGCTCCGTCTGGCCTGAGCACCCTGCCCCAGCGAGTCCTCCGGAAAGAGCCTGTCACCCCATCTGCACTTGTCCTCATGAGCCGCTCCAATGTCCAGCCCACAGGTACCTGGGGCAAGGGGGAGAGGACTGATGAGCGTCTATGGGAGGGTTTAGGGATGAGAAGGTCATCCCTGCTCTCATTCAACTTACCTGTTGTCTCCTTAGCTGCCCCTGGCCAGAAGGTGGTGGAGAACAGCAGTGGGACACCCAACATCTTAATGTAAGTGCCCCAAGCCTTGGGGTGGAGGGAGGTGAGGGGACAGTGAATGGGCAGGAAGTCGGGAAGATAAAACCTAAGGGCAGGAGGAGTAGAGATGAAGAGAAGTGGGGCGGGGGACAGGATGAGATGAGGAAGCGGAGAGAAAGCAAACCTCTTAATAACCAAAACCGGTTCTGAGTTGCCTTCCCCCACTTTCTAAGCAGGCGGCACTTCACAATTGATGACTTTGAGATTGGGCGTCCTCTGGGCAAAGGCAAGTTTGGAAACGTGTACTTGGCTCGGGAGAAGAAAAGCCATTTCATCGTGGCGCTCAAGGTCCTCTTCAAGTCCCAGATAGAGAAGGAGGGCGTGGAGCATCAGCTGCGCAGAGAGATCGAAATCCAGGCCCACCTGCAGTATGGGTTGATGCCCCCTGAGCCGAAGCCCCTCTGCTCCCTCACCCCAGCTCCTCACTCAGCCCTACCTCATCCAGATTGCGTTCTCTGTAGCTACGGCTAGTGAGCCCCATTTAGCCCTTAGTCCTGGCCAGAGCCTTGAATCCAGAAATCTGCCTCCAGTTTCCCCTTCCCACTCCCATTCCTGGTGTCCCCAGCCTGGGCCACGTCTGACCCCAGTTTGCTCCTATTATCTTTCCCAGCTCTTTTATGCCTTTGGCCTGAGGCTTCCTCTGTCTCTTCCCTCAGCCATCCCAACATCCTGCGTCTTTACAACTATTTTTACGACCGGAGGAGGATCTACTTGATTCTAGAGTATGCGCCCCGCGGGGAGCTCTACAAGGAGCTGCAGAAGAGCCGCACATTTGATGAGCAGCGAACAGCCACGGTCCGGGCGGGTGGGCACCTGGGCCGCCAGTAGGGGGCTGGAGGCTGAGGGTGTGCTGCTTGTAGCTGGAGGTCCATCCTTGTCTGATTGCCTGTCGTTGCCCCTCCCAGATCATGGAGGAGTTGGCAGATGCTCTGATGTACTGCCACGGGAAGAAGGTGATTCACAGAGACATAAAGCCAGAGAATCTGCTCTTAGGGCTCAAGGGAGAGCTGAAGATTGCTGACTTTGGCTGGTCTGTGCATGCGCCCTCCCTGAGGTATGGTGGCCTGGGAGGCCAGCCCTGGGTGTGAGGCGGGGCCATTAAAACCTCTCCAGGGGCTGGGCGTGCTGGCTCACGCCTGTAATACCCGCACTTTGGGAGGCTGAGGCGGGCGGATCACCTGAGGTCAGGAGTTCGAAACTAGCTTTGCCAACATGCTGAAACCTTGTCTCTACTAAATATACAAAAATTAGCCGGGCATGGTGGCGGACACCAGTAATCCCAGCTACTCGGGAGGCTGAGGCAGGAGAATTGTTTGAACCTGGGAGGCGGAGGTTGCAGTGAGCCGAGATTGCGCCATTGCACTCCAGCCTGGACGGCAGAGTGAGACTCCTCTCAAAAAAAACAAACAAAATGGTTAGAATGTGGTGCTAAGAACCCCAAGGTCATGGGTTTGATCCCCGTATGAGCCAATGGTAAAACTTTGGCCAGGTGCGGTGGCTCACGCCTGCTAATCCCAGCACTTTGGGAGGCCAAGGCAGGTGGATCACTTGAGGCCAGGAGTTCAAGGCTAGCGGACTAGCCTGGCCAACATGGCGAAACCCCATCGTTACTAAAAATACAAAATGTATTAAGCAGACATGGAGGTGCACACTTGCAATCCCAGCTGTGCGGGAGGCTGAGACATGAGAATCACTTGAATCCGGGAGGCAAAGGTTGCAGTGAGCCAAGATCACCCCCTTGCACTCCAGCCTGGACTCTGTCTCAAAAAAGCCCGGAGCAGTGGCCTTTTTTCCTCCCACATCATTTTTTAACGGTTTCATAGTATCACATAGTAGCTGATTTATTTAAGCAGAACATGCCTGATGGGCATTAGAGATGTCCCCAGTGAACTCCAAAATGAACTCCAAATGAACACTGCCCTCATAGCGGAGTATCTCATTAAGACATATCCTTCAGCGTGGAGTTGCTGGGGCTGTGTGCAGGCTTACCTCTGGGGCTTTCAGATATGTCATCACCCCAACCCCACCCCCACTCCAGTAACCCTGCCTGGCTGGACCTCTCCCCTGGTACCTCCCGTGGTCTTTTGGCTCCCTGCCATCAGGTAGCAGGGAAAGGAGAGTTCCTATGTCACTGGGACCCCTGCCCACGCCCCTTATCCCTCCCAGGAGGAAGACAATGTGTGGCACCCTGGACTACCTGCCCCCAGAGATGATTGAGGGGCGCACACACAACGAGAAGGTGGATCTGTGGTGCATTGGAGTGCTTTGCTATGAGTTGCTGGTGGGAAACCCACCGTTTGAGAGCGCATCACACAACGAGACCTATCGGCGCATCGTCAAGGTGGGAGGGCGGCCTGGGCTTCGTGCCAGCTCCAGAGGCCAGGGGCTGGGGGGCTGGGGGTGGGCAGAGTGTATCCGCGTGGCCCTAAGTAACTCCAGACAGAATGGGTAGTCAAGGAAGATGTAGCCAGGGTGAAAGTAATGCAGCCCTTCCATCTCTTCACACCTGCAGGTGGACCTAAAGTTCCCCGCTTCTGTGCCCACGGGAGCCCAGGACCTCATCTCTAAACTGCTCAGGCATAACCCCTCGGAACGGCTGCCCCTGGCCCAGGTCTCAGCCCACCCCTGGGTCCGGGCCAACTCTCGGAGGGTGCTGCCTCCCTCTGCCCTTCAATCTGTTGCCTGATGGTCCCTGTCATTCACTGGGGTGTGTCTGTGTTTTGTATGTTTGTGTATGTATAGGGGAAAGAAGGGATCCTGCACTGTTCCCTTATCTGTCTTCTACCTCCTCCTTTGTTTAATAAAGGCTGAAGCTTTTTGTACTGATGAGTGTAGATGTTTCTAGGTGGAGGCTTTGCTGTGGAGGAAGCTGTTCCCTAGAAGGAGAGGTGGCTCACCCTGAGGAGCTGGGATGAGCATTGCTTTGCTATCCCTGGTAACACCCAACCCTCTCAGCTCTGACACCCACCTGGTCAGCTCCCAGCCACCCCCACCCCTACCCCCACTTTCACCTCTACCCTGTCTGTTCTTTCCATTGCTCTGACTCCCAGAGCCCGGGGGCACTGGGGGCCCTGGCTCCCCATTGCTACATTGGAACACCAGCCATCTCTGGCCACCTTCTTTCACCTCTCTCTTGGTTGTCCAACTTCTAGTTTTTCCTTTTCTGTTTCATTCTCTGCCCCTTTGCCAGCGTAGGAGCAGCTGAACAATTCTGTACCCTAGAAACTGTCTTTGATTCTTTTACTGCTCTGGTCAGGATCTAGTACAGGAGCCAATAGAAGCAGTAGTGATTCTGTCTTGTTCCTGACACAAGGTTTCACTGTCATGTATGATGCTTGCTGTAGGTTTTTGATAGATACCCTTTATCAGGTTAAATAGGGCCTATTTACTCCTAGTTTACTCAGTCTTTTAAAAAAAAAAAAAAAGTTAAGTCCAGATGCCTGCAATCTGGCTCATGCCTGCAATCCCAGCACTTTCAGAGGCCGAGGCGGGCGGATCACGAGGTCAAGAGATCGAGACCATCCTGGCCAACATGGTGAAACCCCATCTCTACTAAAAATACAAAAATTAGCTGAGCATGGTGGTGCATGCCTATAATTCCAGCTACTCAGGAAGCTGAGGCAGGAGAATCTCTTGAACTGGGGAGGTGGAGGTTTCAGCAAGCCCAAATCGCACCAATGCACTCCAGCCTGGCGACAGAGCAGGACGGAGCCTCACCCTGTGGTGCAGGATGGAGTGCAGTGGCCTGATCTCGGCTCACTGCAACCTCCAACCTCCTCTCGGGTTCAAGCTATTCTCCTGCCTCAGCCTGCCGAGTAGCTGAGATTACAGGCCTATAATTTACAGGCTATAATTATAGCCTATAATTTTTAATATGGATATCCCTAGGTTTTTTTTTAAAGCCCTTCTACTGGATGGACATGCAGATTATTTCCAGTGCTTTGCACTGTGGCCAGTGTCTTTTGAGTGCCTCCTGTGCACCTTTGTGATGGTCTCTTGTTGTCCTCTAGGGGACATCTAAAGAAAGACATGGCAATGGTGAGTACAAGTATCTAGAGAAAGACATGGTAATGCTGGGTACACGCAGGTAAACGGTCTATAGACATCACCAAAAATGCCCTTCTAAGTGGTGGACAGTTTACACTCCCACAGGCCATAATGAAGGACACCCATTTTCCCACAACCATAACGCTGACTCCTACTCCTACTCCTACTGTTACCTGCGGGTAAGTCTGCAGCTATCCGGGGAACTCCGGAGTGGCAACTCTGCAGCAACCTCACTCCTCTGTCTTCTCGATGGCAATAATTCAAACGAGATAAAAGCAAGGATTTTGTTTTTTCTCAAGACGGAGTCTGGCTCCGTTGCTCAGGCTGGAGTGCAATAGCGCGATCTACAGCCGTGAGCCACCGCACCGGGCCAAAGGCAAGGTTTAAGGCAGAAGGGACAACTGATTTTAAGCAAAGTGATAGTTTATTACAAAAGACAGTTCACTTAGAAGAGGACCAGGCTGGCGACTTGAAAAAAATCAAGTGCCCCTTCCTTTTCTTTAGAGTTTTTACACCCTCTACCTTTTCCGGAACGCTCTGTCTCCTTTTGTTCTTCCTCTGAGCCGGCTGTGGTTTAATTGTCGCAGGCGCAGTGGCCTGCCGGCATTAGGAAGAGACCGCATGCGCAGTGTGTTTACCGAAGTCCAGGGCATGCTCTTTAGGATCAATTCTCCCTTTCTGGTCCAGCGCCCCCACAGGAAGGTTAGATGCTGATCAAATTCAACCATTTTGCCTTTTCACTGCACATGCTTAAAACCTTACTGCACAGGCTTAAAACATTATAGGGGTGATGACTTGCTAACTCCAGGTGTTTTCTCTGTTGCAAGACTCCTCTCATTCCCGGCGCCAGCGATGGCCATTTATTATCTCACACGGATAGTTAGTTGTATGCCCGCCTGTCCTTCACTCGATGAGAACCAGACAGCTCTGGGGTTCTTCTCTTGTCCTGCTCGTTATGTAAGAGGGACAGATTTCTAATCGCTCGACCATGACTTGACAAATGCCCAACATACGGGGAGGCCCTCTTTCCTGCCCTCATGTCTAACTACCTACTCTAACACTACAAAGCATCCCCAATAGATCGGCTTTTCTACTCCCCAAAACACCAAAGCTCCCCACAGCTCCTACACTCATGATCTCCCCTCTTCTCTGAGAAAGAGCAGAACCAAACGGGGGGGTCTTTTTTTTTTTTTTTTTTTTTTTTTTTTTTTTTTTTTTTGAGACGGAGTCTCGCTCTGTTGCAAGGTTGGAGTGCAGTGGCACAATCTTGGCTCACTGCAACCTCCGCCTCCCGGGTTCAAGTTATTCTCCTGCCTCGGCCTCCAGAGTAGTTGGGATTACAGGCGCCCGCCACCACACCCGGCTAATGTTTTTGTATTTTTGGTAGAGACGGGGTTTCACCATGTTGGCCAGGATGGTCTCGATCTCCTGACCTCGTGATCCACCCACCTCGGCCTCCCAAAGTGTCGAGATTACAGGCGTGAGCCACTGCGCCCGGCCACTAATTTTTTTTTTTTTTTTTTTGAGACGGAGTATTGCTCTGTTTCTCAGGCTGGAGTGCAGTGGCGCGATCTCCGCTCACTACAAGCTCCGTCGCCTCCCGGGTTCACGCCACTCTCCTGCCTCAGCCTCCCGAGAAGCTGGGACTACAGCCGCCCGACACCACGCTCGGCTAATTTTTTTTTTTTTTTTTTTTGTATTTTTAGTAGAGACGGGGTTTCACCGTGTTCGCCAGGATGGTCTCGATCTCCTGACCTCGTGATCCGCCCGCCTCGGCCTCCCAAAGTGCTGGGATAACAGGCATGAGCCACTGCGCCCGGCCGCTGATTTACATTTTTAAAGGATCATTCTGGTTCTCTATTGAGAATAGACTGTAGAGAGGTGAGGGTAGAAGAAGTGAGGCCATTTGGGAAGCAACTTCATTTACCCAGGCCAAAAATGATGGTGGTTTGGACCAGGGCAGAAACAATGGTAAGGATGAGAAGTGGTCAGATTCTGGATGTATTTTCGAGCAGAACCAACAAGATTTCCTAAAGGATTGGGCATAGATTATGACAAAAAGAGGAGTCAAGTACAACTCCAGGGTTTTTGGCCTTAGTCACTGGGAAGATGGAGTTGCCATTTACTGAGACAGAAGTCACCGTAGGAAAAAACAAGGTTTTGCCGGGGAGGTGGTGCGATAGGGGTGGGGCAAGGAACCAAATCACAGGAAGGATAAAGGTGGGGCTATCTTCAGGCTGGCACGGGATTTCAAACGCTCTCAGAATTCATGCCTCTTCATCTTTCGTCTCTGGTTCTCTTCCTTATCAGCCTCATTCTTTCCTTCTACAGACAGTTATCTCCTGGACATGAAAGATGGAAAAACTGATACCCAGCTTGAGTTCTCAAGAGAACAGAAGGGCGTCTCACACTGTCCACAAAGATAGAAACAACCAACCAACACTGGAGGATTTTTACTGGTCATACCTTGGGTCATGTGCTCTTCCCTGCGCCAATCTGCAGTCAGAAGGATGAAGTACTCTAATTGGCCAGCTTTGGGTCACGTGCCTGTCCCTGGCTGTCATTGCACCAACAACTCAGGGAATGGAGAGTTGGGGAGTGAGGAGCTTCCCCTACACAGACAGAGGGTGGGTAGCCCATTTGTCCGCTAAAAACTGCAAGATACAGGCTCACGCCTGTAATCCTAGCACTTTGGGAGGCCGAGGCGGGTGGATCATGAGGTCAGGAGTTCGAGACCAGCCTGATCAACATGGTGAAACCCGGTCTCTACTAAAAATACAAAATTAGCTGGGCGTGGTGGCACGCGCCTGTAATCCCAGCTACTCAGGAGGCTGAGGCAGGAGAATGCTTGAACCTGGGAGGCGGAAGTTGCAGTGAGCCAAGATTGTGCCACTGTACTCCAGCCTGGACAAGATAGCAAGAGTCCGTCTCAAAAAAAAAAACACAAAAAACAAAAACAACAACTTCAAGGTACATCTAGAATGCATCCATCCACATCATGCTAGACTGAGCTACTATCACCTGGTACTTGGAACCACCTCCTCACTGGTCTACCGTCTCCCTTGCAAACATTTTCTACAACAGCCTATAATCCCTAAACATGAATCCCATCACATCACTCTCTTCCTGTGCTCAGTTTCCCATTCTCAAGGGAAGGCCTCCCATCTTCTAAAGAATATCTACCTACCCAGCCCAATATATGAGCTTTTCAGGTTGTGGTTGTTGTTGTTGTTGTTTTAGAGCAAAGGAATGACGGGTTTTGTCAAGCTGCAGGCGACTATAAGATACAGACAGCTGACAACTGTGGACTCCTCAGGCGTAGTGAAACAGTGAGCTACTATCATTAGGGTTGGCTGGCTAGGACCCTGGCAGGCACCTGGGGATAGTAGTGCTGGGAAGTTCTGGGGAGCTGCACTTCTGAATGTTGGCATGACACTGCCTCAAGACATCTCTCTATCCAAATGGAAAAAACCAACCACATCCTTTGTCAGCTAAGGAGAGTTAGCAAACTGTTTTTATTAAATACGGATGTCTGGTCGGGCACGGTGGCTTACGCCTATCATCCTAGCACTTTGGGAGGCCGAGGCGGGTGGATCACTTGAGGTCAGGAGTTTAAGACCAGCCTGGCCAACATGGTGAAACCCCGTCTCTACTAAAAATACAAAAATTAGTCTGGCGTGGTGGCGGGCGCTTGTAATCCCAGCTACCTGGGAGGCTGAGGTAGGAGAATCGCTTGAACCCAGGAGGCGGAGGTTGCAGTGAGCCAAGATCGCGCCACT